TGGTTTTAGAACAGTAATGTAGTTTATATAACGCTGGAAAACTTCAATCAAATACGTAATTTTGTAGCCAAAAATTCTGAACTAGACCACGTTTAATTTGCAGTTATACTCATCTTTATATGAAAAAGTTACAGGGCATTTTTCCAATGATTTGAGAAAATGGTTTACATGACTATGATTCTAGACTAATCAACTTGCTTTTCTTCAGTGACTTTTGATTACATATGGAATAATTATGCAATACTCTGTTATTTGAACTGTTTAAACTCATCTCAATCAGTAGTTAGATCGTAGTTTGTCGCCAAGTGTCTCCATTTTTATTCGCTTTTTTGTGTCCCGTTGACTAGTCTGGACTAGTCCAAACATAGTTGAAGGGCATTTCTCGTAAAGACAATCAGTCATGATGGATAGACATGACATTTCAGATTTGATCTGACGGCTAGTATGCATATCCGCCTAGTCATGTCGAACGTTTTCACTAATTTTTCGTTTATTTGAAACGTTATATATATTCATAACTGTTGACAAAACGAAATCACTATTTTAATAAAATAATGCCTCCACCATGTGCCATCGAAACATGCAAACGTAAATCACGAGCATTATGTCATTGTTGCAACAAGAACCTTTGTCCTGATCATTTGAAAGAACATGATGATTTAATCAATTCTCAAGTAAATCCTCTTCTTGACGAAATTGATAATCTTGATAATCAATTGTCGGCATTAAATATTGATGAAGTTATTGGCAAATGTCGTCAAAAATTAGATAAATGGCGTCATGATTGTCATATTGTAATCGATCGTTTTCATGAAGAAAAATGTCAAGAACTTCAACAATGTTGTGTTAAACAAGTTGGTCAAAAACGAAAAAAAATTCATCAATTGAAATTAAAAACAAACAAAATTGTTCAAGAACAATAAGTTACACATGATGATATTTCTTCATTGAAAGCAACTATTAATGATATCAAACGTGATATTAATCAATTTGAAGAGAATTGCATTTTAGTTGATGTTCATCCTTTCATTATTAATCAAAATTTAGTTTATATTGAAGAATGGACATTGAATGAACTTATTACATAAACTTTTTCGTCTCCGTACCGAACAATCGATTGTTCCTATAATGAGTGGCCTGTATTGGCTAGCAACAATCACTTTTTACTAATAGATCAATATCCAAATTTATGTTTGTTGAATAAAGAATTGACTCTTTTAAAACAATCTCCATGGAAATATGGTCGCATTCTTAATATGTGTTGGTCATCGACATTAAATAGCTATATTATTATAACAAACAAAAATGGAATTTTTCTGATTAACGAAAATCTAACATCAATTGAATATATTCAAACGACCGAGAAGAAACAGTGGCTATCTTGTACATGCTCATATGCATCTTTACTTCTAACAACGAATGAATCGAATTCTGATATTTTTCAATTCAACATTTTATCATCGTTTCATTTCATCAGACAATGGAAACCTCCACAAACTTGTAACTACGACGAACTTATCCATAATATTACTTATAACAATGGAATACTTGCTTTAATAATATCACACAAATACAAAACAACAATGCGCCTAGAACTTCGATCTTCATTAACACTCGATCAACTCTGGTCACTCCCATTTTATTAAATGGGTAGTATTGAGCAACGTGTAAATCATGTTTGTTTACTCAAATATGACGAGTGGCTTGTAATTGATCATACTACTTCACGTCTTTTATATGTTAGTAAAGATGGAAAAGTAAAGACAAAGTGGTCATGCAAACCAATAGTTCATAATGCTGTTTTATTTGGTTCAAATATATTGGCTATCAGAAGTACAAACCGCCTCAATTTGTATAGAATATAATAATAGAACTGTATTATTGTAAATTAAAGTACATAGATCTATATTATTTATTCATGATTAATAAATATCTTGTCAAGTCTTTGTATGAAACAATTTTTTTTCTTATAGATCTTTTGAGCAAAACAAATTATTAGTTTTTTTTTATTAATTCTTCACGAGTTCCTCATATAGAATAATGATCAAAAACAAAAATAATGCCCTCATTCACTGAAACGAAGTTTCATTCTAGAAAATATGAACCAATTTGTTTGAGATTATCAGACTTAGAATAAAAGAATTTAATTAACATATTCATAGATGTTCTACAATACAGTTAGAATTATTTTCGATATAATCTACTAGAAATCTTTTTTTTTGAACATTATAGAACTGTTCTATTCAATCATGTCATTGATTGGATATATGCATAGATATATAGTTTTATATTGTACAAGCATAATTTATCTAATAGTTTTTTTTCTATTCACGCATTTATCAAGATCTGCTTTGATACTTCCCGTATTTTTCACATTAAGAAAAAAACGAAAATTAGTATGATACCTACTGATAATCTACCATCATTACCTGTTTGTCAGCAGGCATCACACATACTCGTCAGATCAGCTGAAAAAACCTTACAATTCAAATTGTTTTGAATATCTTGCAGAGATGTTCATCCTGGCTAAAAATCTACTACTATCACGCGCCACAACGATGGAGTTTCAAAAAATATAATCGAAAATCAGTGCCATTGAGGCACTGGGCCAGCACTCTTGTAACTAATTCATCAAATTCATTCAATCTCAGGATGTTGCATTTGTGGACACAACAAATCTATACAAATTCATGAGGTTTTGCATGGACTTTCAGAAAAACCTATCGTCACTGTGCCGCTGCAGTGAAAGCTTTGTTAAAGTATCAGCCGCCCCAATGTTGCACTTCGTCGAGTGTTTAAAATATCTACCGATGTCTTGTGACTGCATGAAGGCTAAAGAAAAATCTCAACTCTTTTTTATCATCTTTTTGCATTCTTGAGGGTGCGGATGTAGGCGGATATTAGCGATGAAGACAAAACTCAGACCCACGAACAATTGTTAAACTAATTTATTTTGCAAATTAAAATCGATCTGAAATAGTATTTGCCATAGATGAAAAGTATATTTTATGATTGATTGTATTGTTTGTGCATGTCAAATATTAGCCACCTCTTTCTAATTTGCTCGAATTTGCGTGCTTCTTTAAAATTGAATTGTTTAAAGAGTATATTCATATGCAACAATGTACAGCTTTTATTTAAAGACTGTATTGATTTATTAACATTTGTTTGACTCTAACATTTTCGCTAATCTATAAATCACACAAGGATGATAAATTGTCACAAATATTGAATAACGAAACTCTTTATCTATATTTCACAAATTTTTAATATAAATGATAAAATCTTCCAATAGTATCTATTGACATAAGAATAAGCGTGTGATTGTGGGTGTTGATATATTCTATGTGAACCTACACCCACACCCCAAGGGGGAAAAAGCGGATCCTGGTGGATCCTGGGATCCATTAGGATCCGCCAGGATCCATAGGATCCACCAGGATCCACTAGGATCCATCAGGATCCACTAGGATCCATCAGGATCCACTAGGATCCATCAGGATCCATCAGGATCCATTAGGATCCATCAGGATCCATTAGAATCCATCAGGATCCACCAGAATCCATTAGAACTCATTATCATTTATGAAGATAGATTAATGTTCTGAATAGCCACAAAAGCAAGGAAATCAACCAGATTCATAAAATAAGGATGCATAATTCAAAATATGTTCTGGATGAATCAATGGGAGCACCATGTGCTATTTATACAACTATGACTAGTCTACTTTACAAAGGAAAAACGGACCTTTAGACATCCCACGATCTATTGGACTCCATCCGAAGCCATTAGAATACATGGAAACAAAGTAAACAGACGAAGAATTGACCCTAGAATTTTTGGAAAACAAAGAAAAAAGAAATCTCGGAGATTGAGAGCCTGGTGGGTCCCGATGAACTTTTGAGTATCTGAATGAGTTCTGCGGTTTATATGATAGAATAAGATCCATCAAGATTTAGGTGTTCCTGATTGGTTTCAGATTATTATGATGCTTGTTAATTTCCGCTGAATTCTTCTGGATTTCAAAAGATTGTACTAGATAGTGTTGAATTTTTGCTAGAGAAAAGCCCAAGTCTTTTTGAGCTAGATTTCTGACATAGGCGGCAAGGGCGCTGCACAGGTTCACCATTTTTTTTCCGGGAAAAATGCGAAAACCGGAAAAAAGTGTGTACCCATAAAATTTTAAGATGCCGACAGAATTTTAATTGAGATTCAATCAAGATCGTAACAGTTTATTGCTATTTCCCAATCATATATCGTCGAAGAAGCTGCTAAATCTTGAGAAAGCCGCGTAGCCACGGAATTTCAAGACCTCGACAAGGTTCATAACAGGATTCTATCAGTATCCTGAGCAGTTTACCAATGCAATTAAAACAAGAAATATGTTAATAGAGGGTCAAATCCTCAGAAAAACGTGTAGGCACGAAATAAACACGATTCTGTTATGATTAGAACAAAATCTGAGAGAAATTCTGAGTCATTTTGTATTGACTTTATGTCAAGCTCTTCTCAGAATTCCAATGGCTTCTAATTGGAAAATATTTTCTGATTGCACCTCGCAGAACTCCACTTCGATTCTGTATGGATGATATCCGATGTATTGTCAAAATTTTTGCAGGATTCTCTAAGCAGAAAAGAGAAATGAACGCACATTATTGATTTCTATGTTCAGTTAAAAAACTGATTAGTTCACCACAGTAGACTGTACCATGCTATTTAATTTAACTCAAACCTTCTGTATCTCGAATTCCCTCTGAACTATTAACTTGTATTTGAACTTTATGCAAACATAAGTTATTTGAACAAAAATTCAATATAAACTTAATCTATTGATTACTTATCATAAAATTCTACTATGACTGGTTGATTTCAATTTGAATAAAAAGGTATTTTTCTGATTAGCACGAATAAATAAAATCCAGTACAAGTTTTATTGAAGTACTCGTCCTTTACTAAAAGCTTTTTTAAGAAAAAGTTAGTGCAACAGTTAACTGATATTAAAATCTCCATTTTAATGAGTTTGCAAGTTTTATATGAAAATAAAATTCAAAAAGTAACTGAGTTCCATGCTGTAAATGTCATGCAATATTGAAGATAAATATTAAAAATCTTTGACGAGAAATCTTCAAAAATTCTGTCAGAATTCTTCCATTCACTGACACATAGAAACAAAGGAATATTAGAATGAAATTCAGGTACCTTCTTGATCTTCTACATTCCTGTCAGAACCGGAACAAAACACATTGCAAATTCTTCATTGTCATTTTAGTATAGTTACTGTTAAAAGTTTATTTAACAAGCACAATTTGAGTTTTTGAGATTCAAAGATTCAAAAATATTCGAAGAATCTTAAATAGGAACTGTTAAGGATTTTGGTGGAAACATTTCATAATTTTATTCAAAATTCTGAACCAGATCAGTCATAGATCTTGTTACAATCCTCAAGATCAAGCTTTAGTAGACTCTAAATGAAAATGGTAAAGATCTTCGTCTAACCTTGATATGCTTTCAGAAAGATCCTGGCCATCCTTGACCTTCTCTAGGAAGGATCCGAAATGGTTGTCCTTGAAGAGACCCTAAGACAACTCTGGAAATGTTCAGAAAAGATATTCGTAAGAAGAATGCTTAAGAAAATTAGATAGAATCGTGTTTGAATCTTAGAAGAATCCAATACCTGAGGATTTTCATTGCTCTTCTATTAATTCCTTGTAGGATCTTTGCCTTATTTAACTGTAAGTCAGGAGAGGATCATGACGCAGAGATCCCAAACGAATTCTCTTAAAACTATAATAGAATCTAAGCGATATTCTTTCTGTAATCCCTATCAAGGTTTTGAGTAAGATCAAAAGTGAATCCTAGTATGGTCCATCATGTTAAAATAATAAAGAAATCTGAGTGGGAACTTGAAAAGATCCTGAGAAGAATATTTTTTTCACAATGAAATATCCTGCAAACCAGTATTATTAAAATTGGAAACGGAATCCTTAATAAAATATGACATGAATCTTCTTATTCAGGAGCCCAAAATGTTCTTTCACACTTTCTCAAGGAAAAACAGGATTAAGAATAAAGTAGAGGGTTGCTCTAAGTTCTGACATCCTTAGTTTGACGGAGAAAAGCGGATTCTAGAGTCCTAAGAGATTTTAGAATATATTTCTAGAAGTGTACCAAAAGCGGTCACAGATTACCGCCATTGGCTATAATTCAACACAATCCATTACAATTTATCAGAGATAACTAGAATGCAATAGAAATCATCATGTATTACAATAATATCAAACCGATCGCGGAAGCGTAAATCTTGATGGATCCAAAAAATACGCAGAATCCATGATGATATGCCAAAATTTACCAAGACATAATCATCTCGGTATCCTGGATCTTTTTTTCTCTTTACTTAGTTACAAATTCTGAAGTCACTATTCCCTTTTCTCATTTAATTTATTTGAACCTTAAAGAATACTCATATCCATTAAGATCAACTTTTCCATCCTCGTTTCTGTACGCTTGAAATAATTTATTCTACAATTCATCAGGTTCCGTCAGGATCCACTAGGATCCATTAGGATCCATCAGGATCCACCAGGATCCAATAGGATCCACCAGGATCTAATAGGATCCACGAGGATCCACGAGGATCCACCAGGATTCAATAGGATCCACCAGGATCCAATAGGATCCACCAGGATACGGTAGGATCCACCAGGATCCACAGGATCCACCACGATCCACCAGGATCCACAGGATCCACCAGGTTCCGAGGATCCAGGATCCGCTTTTTCCCCCTTGCCACACCAACACCCTGTTCTCAATTGCTATGCAATGACGTCATGTTCATTTGAAATGAGATATCAGAAATAATTTTAAACAATTTTATGCAATGTAGCAAAGTGTTACTACGTTATAATTTCTCATTGGAATGATTTTAATCAAAAAATCTGTTATTATTTCTCAGATTTTAGCGTATAAAACTTCTTTTTAACTCATCGGAGCACTTATAAAATTTGAATCAACAGAAGAAAAACTCCTTCATCATTATTTTTCTATGTTAATTCTATCGGCGGTTGCCTTTAGTTTTTTTTATTCGTTGTCATGCAATTTTTTTTATCGCTAGTGAAATAATGACAGGCGCAGTATTTTTTTCTTTTGGTTTTCTTGCCAACAAGCGGTTAATCAGAATTCATCTTGCTACGACAGCATCGAACGGCAAATGCCTGATGACGACAATGCATTTTTTTTGAGTGTTGTCGTCACCCTAACTTGAGTACATATTCATTCGTGTATATATATGTGTCAATTAATTTTTTATCGATGCCTCAATGGGTTGTTCATCAAGTGTTTCTTCACAGCAACCAGCTTCTAGAATAAACAATGTACAAGTAAGTATTGAAGAAAATTTTGATTTTTGAAATAAGATATGTCGTATTCAATTGATTTAAGTCTTCGTCCGATAATCGAAGTACGATCATTGTATATGGCATGCTAACATCACCTGCTGTTCAACGTGTATTGGCTACATTAATAGAAAAAGGTCTTAAGTATGAATTCAAACTTGTCAATCTAAGAGCCAATGAACATCTGGTAGGAAATAGATGATATTTATCTTATTTTTAGAATATATATGTATCGAATAGACTTCTTCCTATTTGGAAAAACAACCATTTGGTACCATTCCATTACTTGAAGATGTTGATGGATTCACAATTTATGGTAAGTTTATGCATTAAAAATAAAAATTTACAGATTGAAACTTTATTTGCATTTAGAATCTCGCGCCATTTGTCGATATTTGGAAATGAAATACAAAGGCAAAGGTACCGAATTGATGCCAAGAAATAATCCGAAAGCGGAAGGCCTTTTTGAGCAAGCTGCATCAACTGAATTGTGTTATTTTGATCCACACGCTAACAATATTGGCCGCGAATTAGTATTGAAAAAGTAGGATATTTAGATCTCCTTTTTCAAATTTTCTTTATAATAATCTGTTGCCTAGAATGCGAGGTGGTGAACCAGATATGAACCAAGTAGCAGAATTTCGACGAGATTTGGGAGAAAATCTCGATGTTTACGAAAAAATTTTATCTGAACAATCATATCTGGCTGGAAACGTAAGAAGAACATTTCTATAGGAAGTAGTTTTATAAAAACAAATATGTTTTGATTACTTAGACATATTCTCTTGCTGATTTATTCCATGTACCATTGGGTTTACTTCTTGTAAAATGTGGTGAAGGTGAACTATTCGAAACTCGACCACATGTCAAACAATGGTGGGAGAAGATTTCAACACGTCAGGCATGGAAAAATATTCAAGCAATGATATGAAATCCAATCATATAGATATATAGGCTGTCTATTTCGTTTAAAATAAAGTCTTAAGAAAAATTTTATAGTGGAATTAATTTTGAACTTGTCTGCTATATTGATGAATTGTAATTATCGACGTGTTTCTTTCCTGGTATTATTTCTTGTGTGTGAGTACAATGGAGAGTTGTATAAGTATAAAGAAAAATGCAAATCATAGTAAAAATCATGAGTTTTAGTAGTCATAATTAACGTGGTTTAAACTTCATCTACTATACTCTACTAAAGCAAGAGTAAAGAATAGATAAACAGATTTATAACAATGAATCGAATGTTAGACAATTGTACTGCTTCTCAATAGTTTTGAACATGATTAATTTTGCTTACTATCGTCCTGGTAAACTTCAATTTTATTATTGAATATCTAACAATTTCTATTGTATTAAAAAACTTAGCGTTTTTTTCAATTAGAATTCAATAATGCTTTATCCACCTGTGTACACTTCATAAACTATTATCAATTAAAGATAGAGTTTTGAAAACTTGCTACAGTTGTAATAATATCTCGTGTTTTTCAACTCAAATGAAAAACGATACAGAGAATTGAATATCAATAAAATTAATGGTCATTGCATATGTACGGCATGTTTTCTCAGTTGCGAGGTATTACTAGTGGCTTATTCACAGTTTTAGAATGTAAATCTTGATGTTTCTGACAGATTAAACGATCACTTCAAAGAAAATGTAATATTAACGAACTGGCTGCTCATATTACGAAAATCAATAAAACACAATGGAAGTAGCGCTTGGAAAATGTATAAGGTTGGACATAATACGTAAAAGACTTAGTGCTTTCTACGATGGCAGAGATTCACTTCATTTATCTTATTTTCCTAGTTTTAACCTCTTGGTAAATCGCTCTCTTATCTGTGTCTCCTGTTACTCTCATTTATTGCTCTTGCTCTTTAGGGTGAATTGAAGGAAGCACCAAAAAACGATTTGATGTATCGAGATTTAGCTTGAAGTATGCACTTCCAGATTGTACATGTGCGTATAGAATAGATAAACAGGGTGGGTGTGGGTGTGGGTGTAGTTCTCTCCACTCAAACACTCACACCCACATCCAAAACTTCTAACTATAGCACTTACAAATAGGAGATCTATTTCAATATCAAAAAGCAATTGATAAGATCTCTTGAGGGTGTGGGTGTGGGTGTGGCTGTGGCTGTGGGAGTGAGTGTGGGTGTGGCTGTGGCTGTGGCTGTGGGTGTGGGTGGGTGTGGGTGTGGGTGGGTGTGGGTGCGGGTGTGGGTGTGGGTGTGGGTGCGGGTGTGGGTGTGGGTGTGGGTGGGTGTGGGTGTTGGTGTAGGTGTGGGTCGGTATTAGGTCGAATTAAAGAGAATAACACCCACGCCTACACATCCGCACCCACATCCACACACCCACACAACAACCCATACACCCACACCCACACCCTCACACACCCACACCCTCACACACCCACACCCTCACACACCCACACCCACACCCACACCCACACACCCCACACCCAGCCACACCCATCCTAAATAAAAAGGGGGGCATATACATGCATATTTGAATTCGGAATTCTTTAGTCTTCCCATCCTAAAAAAAAGGGGAGAGGGCATATACATGCATGTCTGAATTTAGAATTCTTTAGGCCCCCCATCTTAAAAAAAAGGGGGAGGGGCATATACATGCTTATGTGAATTCAGTATTCTTTAGTGCCCCCGAGCCTCCCTATTCCCCCGTACTTTTATAAAAAGGGATAGTTGTTTTTTCAAAATTCAGTTTGAAATCAAAAAGCTCATAGACTCTTTTTTGTGTAGTGCTCTATTTTTTATCTTTGACAACTGTGTTCGTTCTTCGCCTAAATTGTGTTACCCTTGTTGAGATTTCTTCTTGATCTTTTCTCGAGAATACTGCAATCTATGCACCAGTTTCTAATGTCTTATCTATACAAAGCATACAAGATGTTCTATCTGTGGTTATCAGTTCTTTATCACCGAAGAGAGTATGTCGTGGTATCGCTGAAGTTTGTCTTTGTTATCGGGTGTGAACGACCGTCAATCTTTTCTTTCACTGTGGTACATAGAAAATCTTTCCCAAATTTTGCTTCATACGTGATAAGTGTTTAGACGAGATCATTTTAACGATAGTCAAAACCGACCACTGTAAAAAAAAGTCCTTTTCCATTTCTATCATATGCGTTAAAAATTCCTTATTATTTACATACCGAAAATGGATTGAAGTTATTTTTGTTTCTTATCACATACAATCTTCTATTTTATTTCGAATGCGCTGATTGATAAAAGCAAACTATTCCATCGAATTGTTAACTTTAGCGTTCAAGAAGGGGTTGGAAAGAGTTGGCGGAGCAGAAACGCAAAATTTTGGCTTCACTGATACCAGAAAAGTGGCGAATTTCAACCAAAAAACTACCACCTGACTCTCAACACTCAGTAATTTCTTATCCCACAACAAATAGTTTGTTGAATACCGAAGAAATCACTATTACTCATCTGACAATAACAGAATTGGCGGACAAAATCGCCACCCGCGAATATTCCGCCGTCCAAGTCTGTCAAGCCTTCTGTCATTGAGCAGCTATTGCTCATCAGCTAGTTAATTGCCTCGCGGAGATTTTCGTTGATGCAGCAATAGAAAGAGCGAAAGAACTTGATGATTATCTTGACAAAGAGGGAAGGACTGTCGGTCCTTTACATGGTGTGCCAATTTCACTGAACGATCAATTTCGCATCGAAGGTGTCGAATGCAGCATGGGTTACGTGGGCTGGTTGGGCTACTTTGATAAAGAAGCGAGTGTTATGACTACATTACTCAGAAAAGCAGGTAAATGTTTCCTCGTTTTTTGCATTTCAATAATTTTCTCGCTACGTTTTACACAAAGTTATGCTTACATTGTAATCCTATTATCTCCAAGTGCATACAAAGAAATATGTCAAATAACAAAGTCGAAAGTAATTAGACTTTTTTTAAAGCAACCAAGAGACTTTGCCTGAACGAATTTTTTAATATTACTAGAACGAGATTCATTTTTACTACACATAGTATCATTCTACAGTGTCGCCCATTTTCTTTTTGTGTTAAAACTCTAGATTGCCTCACATCATGAGTCCATCTATGTACTACATTGTCACATATTTTGAAACTGTCTAAAATATTGCAGATATTAATTGAAAAAGCTAAAATCATGCTAAAAACACTCAAATAATCCATAACTGTTGTCTGATTTTTGGTGGAGCGATCTGCATTCAAAATAGTCGCTAAACAATAGGAAGATTATAACACATCTGTTTTAATTATCTAAAGCGATTTTTTATTTCTTACAATCTGCATCAATATTGGGAAAATCTTGTTTTCTGCCAATAGGTGCCGTCCTATATGTGAAAACGAACGTGCCACAGAGCTTAATGGTTGGTGAAACAGTCAATAATATCTTTGGTCGTACATTGAATCCGCACAAATCGACTTCTTTCGTGTGGTGGTTCAAGTGGTGGAGAGAGCGCTCTGATTGCTCTTCGTGGAAGTCCGCTAGGTGTCGGTACTGACATTGGTGGTTCGATTCGTGTGCCAGCTGCTTTCAATGGTCTCTGGGGTATTCGACCAAGTCATGGACGAATGCCGTATGCCGGAGCAAAAAATAGCATGGCGGGACAAGCGACAGTACATTCGGTCTGTGGACCTATGGCTCATACAGCGAAAGATTTGGCCTACTTTATGAGATCCGTATTGGAACAGGAACCATGGAATTATGATCCCAAAGTGATCGAGATGCCGTGGAGAGAGACTAGATACAACGAAGGCAGGACAGGACAAAAGATATTCGGTGTGACTACTGTTAATGGGTACCCAAGTGAGCAAAAGACGGGGTAAATGACTAGTCTTTTTTCTAGTCATGTCGACCCGTCATGCTTAGTCTTTGTCTCAAATTCGACGGGCACATGACTAGTCCGGGATTTTTGGCCGCCATGAAGCCCGTCTAAATCACGTGATTGACGGGCGACATTATACGTGCCTAGTCTAGTCTTTTTTTGAGAAAGACTCGTCCAGGACTAGTCTGAAGTCGGTTTATGGGAAACATTATTGTTTGAAATGCAGATTAGTCTTGGACGAGGACTTTTTGAGACAAAGACTAGTCAAGACGGGCGACAGCGACGCCCGTCCAAAATGAGTTTAAAATTGAAAAAGTAAGGACGTCAGGGACGGTACATAGGACAAGTTGCAGTCTTGTGTGTGGTGGACGAGTTCGGACTAGTCTAAATGGAAATATGTAAGGATGAAGATTAGATTCGAACATGTGTACAATGTATTACTTACCCATTGCTTAGACCATTGAGCCATATGATCAAGAAATTAGCTTCTACATAGTCATAATCATTCTAAGGTGCTATTTAATACAATTTTGCTTAAAGTTTTTTATGTTCACATTTAAGTAAAAATTATTTTTTACAGAATATGACATTATTTGGACAACATTAAAAAAATAATCCAAAAAGTTTGTATATTTTTTGGAAAAATATCTTTCGATTATCATTAAGGAGAAATAATTAGTTGCGTTAAAAAAAATAAATTTTAAACGTAAAAATAAAAAAGCTATTTATATTCAAAAGAAACCAGATTTCTTCATATGATGGCTTAGTTTTAAATTAAAATTACCATATCTTCAACTAACAATTAAATTAACTTTGCTTAATTTAAATATATTCTTAAATTTACAATTATTAGAATTTATATTTAAAATAAGACAACATAAAATTATGACATAAAAAAATTTTAATTATTCGTCAGTTTTTTTTAAACATAGTACATCTAATAATATTAAAAAATATAAATTAATATTCCTTGCTACGAGATGAATATAGTTCATTATACTTACTCCTACTTTTTTGTTAGTTTTGATATACTCTTACATTTTCAACATATGAAAATACAAAATATAATAAGATATATGAAGACAGGAATGCACAGAGCATATT